CATAATTGTATTTACGTAATTTAATTACATATTACGTAAACTAATGAAATATCTGTGCATAAGCAAAGAGCTGTTGCTCTTAAGTTGAGTGTTTTGGAAGAAGGTGAGTAGATTAAAAGAACTGTTGTCAAATTAGGGGTGAAGAAGACAACTACAAAAGACTAGGTGTGTGAGCTGAGTGTGTGAAATGTATAGGACTAGAGAGATTTACATATTTACCCTGCAAGTGTCTAAGTTCTTACACTAAAGAAATAAAACATGAAAATTATAAAGGATGCAATGGGGGTATAGATTATACAAGGAAAATATTGCAGATGCCAACATGTGAATCTGTGCATAACTGAAATGAAAGGGCATGAAGCAATACTGTTGTTCCTTTATGTAACACATGCTGAAATGCTCTATTCCATAATAAATTATCCAATCTCTTTTAAGAAAAATGTTGGTCGTGACCTACTAAAATTATTTTGTGACTCACAGTTTGAAAAGTTACTGCTTTACTCCCACTCCTTAATTTTATTTTTTATTTTTGTGTAGAAGAGCTGGGGTATAGGCCAGGGGTGTGGGGGTAAGAAGATTCACCAGAGACAGTGGGGAGCAGAACAGGCAGATTTATTGAAATACACTGCTGAGGGGAGTAGTGGGTGAGACAGGAGAGGTCTGCTGCGCCGTATGTGGATTAGCTCCCTGGCCAGGATTGAACTCAGGCTATAGTGGTGATAGTGCTGAGACCCAACCCCTAGGCCACCGGGGAGGTCCACTCCTTAATTTTATTGGTGGGGAGCTGAGGTTCAGGGAGATTTAAGAGTCGTCTCTTACTAAGATCACACAGTGGGTGGGTGGAATTATGATCATTGATTCTATATCCTATGGCCTGTTTGCTACCCTGCCCAACCTTCCTTCTGATCCAGCAGTTTCCCTTGTGAAAAGCAGAATGTGCAATGAAGAATTGGATGGCAAGGGAATATCCTTGGGAGAAAAGAAAGAATCCCTTATTCTCTCTCTCTTTTTAAAGATTTATTTATTTATTTATACAAGCACTGGGTATAGTCAGAAGCGCGGGAGGGTGAGAGAATTCATCAGAGCCAGAGCGGGGAGCAGAGCAGGCAGAAGGACCGAAGTACACTGCTGAGGGGAGCAGAGGGTGGCAGGAGAGGTCTGCGCGTCATGTGGGACCCTCCTCTGGTAGCCAGGGAGCAGCCGGGGATCGAACAGGCGCTGCAGAGGCTGCGGACAGCTTCGCAACCCAGCGCTCAACCGCTGCACCACCGGGGAGGCCCCCTCATTCTCTCTTAAGGCTCCTCAGTGCTCCAGGCATTCTTTAAAGCAAGCGAGTTCCAGCACATGCAGGTATATGTGCTTTGATCCCCAAACCAATACAGTCCAAATCTCTTGTGCTATAGACACATATTTGGAACAGTGAACCTTATACCTGGTAGAACACGTGAGCTTCTAATTTTAGAATGACTTCAGCTCCACGTGGGAAAGCTCCAGACAATGGAACGGGGAAGCAGTTTGCAGTTCTGAAAAGCTTTTGTTAGGTGAGATGAGCAATAAACAGATCCCTTGCTTGCTGGCTGACCCATGTTCTACCTGTTTTCCAAACAAGCAACACCTTCAAAGGCTTTTCCCTATAATCTGCTTTGCTCTCCCTCTGTACCCCCAGTCTAAACTTGCCCTCTCAACATAGTTAAGCTCAATGTCCCCATCAAAATCTGACCACCATCTCCCCAAGCGAGCTGATAATGGTGACCTTCCCATGAATAACACCATTGTGAATTTTCATGTTCTTTCATCATTGCCTCTGAAAAGTCTCCCAGACACTAAATTAAGGAAGCCTTCAAACACTCCCCAATTCCAGGTGGGTGTCATTAGACACAGGTTGGAGGAAGGAGCAGAAGTTCAGAGGTTTAAAGAGCCACCTAAGCACCCAGATCGTGCAAGGCAGATAGCAGAGTGAAGCCAGGAACTGGCTTCCAGCTTCCTCAGCAAGGCCCTTGCCACACCCCTCGGTCATTAGTGTGAGTCTCATGGAAATATGAGAATCAGATGGGCGGCCTGGGAACTGGGCAACATTTTGGAGGGTTAAGCAAGCAGCCACCCAGCCACTTAAATGGGTGCATTCTGTCCCTTTTAAAGGGCGTTAAAAGGCACGTTTTGAATACAAGTCATAACTCCTTCCTCAAGAGTGTGACAGCTCTTCTAAGCTGTAGGTGCTGCCACCCCTACCCTGCCTCCAGCTAATGTTTCTCTTCGTGTTTTATAAACTGACAACTAATCACATAAAAGTTTTCTTTCTCAACCTCCAGACTATTGATTTCACTCCTGTCACATTATTTTCTAAGTCAGGCACTAGGCCGCCAGCCGAAGCTGCCTATGTCATAGGTCTTGCTATGGGCTCACCTGTATGGTGGGGTCCACATAGGATAAAGATAAGGATAGAGAAGGACTGCTTCTTTGGATGTAGTTGTAAGAGAATGAAGTGACAGGCACATTGCCACTTCCCTGCCCTGGGTGATTGGGGCCATCACCATTGATGACTGTCGTATCTCCTAACAGTCTCATAATCCTTCACGACACACCTTCCCAAGTGACCCTTCCAACCCATCAGTGTGGTTTTGTGAAAATGTTAGTATTCCAAATTCAAGTCCAACAGAAGAGGAAATTAAGGTTCAAACAGGAACCAGGTGAATAATTTGCACCAAACTGAAATCATCTGGGCCCACCACCCAGGATTCCTGACCCCCAGCCTAAGGCACTGTGTCCCTTCAATGTTCCGCCCAAGGTGGATATCTGAGAAACATTTACTGATGGCGACAGTGCCAGTTTCCTGTGCCTCTGGCATCATCTACTCTCTACTACAGGGGGTTTAAAAGAAAGGAAGACTGAAACAAAACCTCAACAAGAAAGGCCAGGGCAATTGTCAAGCAATGAAAATGTGGAACTTTTTTTTCTCAAAGAGCACCAGAAAGCTATGAGGGATCTGCACCTGTTCCTTTGAGCCCACCTACAACCCTTGATTGGCACATGGAGTTGGCAAATTTCTGGGGATGTGGCATTGCCTCTGTTCTCACCTTCCACATGGGCCACAGAGTGTCATTTGGCTGGTTACAGGGTAACATGCAACAAAGTAGGACAAGCACCGTTTTTTAGGCATATATTGCAGTGAGGGAAAGTAAACATCAGGTGCTTGTTGACACTAGAAACATTCTCACAGGAGGTCCAGAAAGGAAAGATGCAACAGAAGTCAATCACTACTATAGCAAGGACAGTCATTTATAAATAAAGGCAACAGGCTTTCCATGTCTGCTCAGGAGTGACCAGAAAACCTCAAAGCTCATAGGCAAGAGGCTCCCCAGGGAACAAGCTCAGGTATGACACCCTCTATGCCTTTCTCCTTCAGACGAATGGCTGGGGACTGGGAGGAGGGTGAACCGGAAATATTCCTTCCGCATGGTTGGTTGTGTCAAGAGGACCATGAGGGACTGAGGATGCACCTGCAGGTAAAGCATCCTAGGAAGGGGGTCAGGTCAGTTTTGGAAACAGCACAGTGAAGTCACTAAGCTGTCCTCCCCACAACCATAAATTCACATCTGAGCACTTGGTGATGGGGGAGATAATTAAAAAGTGAAAGAATTGCTTCATGGAAACTCTAGTAAACACCGGACCCTAGAAGCTCTGCTTTGGGATAGACACACCCTTCTAGCCCCAGCCCCAACAAAGCACCCCACAGAGGATGAGAGGCATTTTCTTCTATGGCATCATAGACCACAGTGGCCTGGACGACTTAAGGGTCAAGTGCATCAGGACAATAGCTCCAAGGGGAAATCGTGGTGCTGCAGAAGCCATGGTTCCAACTGGGAGTGGCAGCATCACCTCCAGTGTGTTAGGAGGGAAGGGTCTAGAAGAGGTGAAGATCAAAGTACCAGGGATTCTATGCTATTGGTTAGAACCACCCTCTCCTCACTCCATAGACCTCTCTGAAATAGCCAGGGAGACAGAGCAGGGGGCCACTGCAGGAACAGATGGGGCACACTCCATGTCGACGAGAGAATGATAAAACTGGCATACCCACGCTTCGCTGGCATAATTCAATTCACTTGCAAAGGTATTTGGTAATTCATAGCAAGAGCCATATATACAGCTATTCTTGCTATGGTCAAAAGAGTCCCCCCAAAAGGAAAAAGCTTCTAGGTATGAAGATGCAGCATCACAATTTAAACTGGAGGTAACAGAAATATCCACATGGGAATGCTTCATTCAATTACATATGTCCATTTTAATGGAACATCATGACATTTTATTTTATTTTATTCTATTTTTGGAACATCATGACATTTTAAAAGGATACATTTCAAGTCTTTCCAGAACATGGAAAAATGCACAACCCAAAATTTGAGTTCAAAAAACAGGAAGCAAAATAATTTCTTGCTATGACTACTTGTGTGAGAATATTAGTGCACAGGGACAGAGGCTGGAAAGGAAGCACTGCGTGAGGGCCCTGCCTTGTCAGAGCTCGGCCATGAGTGTCTTGCCTCGGACATTTCCTGATCTTTCCAATCTCTTCATCTAGGATCTTTAAAATGAAATCAGGAAAATCTGACTACAAATGTCAAAAATACACTGGAAAATAACTAAGCAAAGATCACCAGACAAAAGCAGACAAGAGTTCAGGTGGCTGGGTTCATTAGATGGATTATCATATGAGTTAAAAATAGGGATGGTCCCCAGCTCACAGGTCCTAAAGGCTGCTCCCCAGCTCCCTCAAACAGGGAGGGAGGTAGGAGAGGGCCCTGGGCGAGCAGGAAACAGCCCTGCCCAGGAGTGTTCCAGGAGCACAGCCTCAGCCCCTGGACAGACGACAGAGCTGGGGACAGCCAGGCCCATGTGGGCTCAGACAGCTGGAGCCTGGGAAAGAAGCTTAGAGCTCCACAGACCAGCCAGGCTCTGCTCCCTTCCTGTACTCCACACGCCACCCCACACCCAGGGCACACACTTACCGCTCAGGGTCGATGTGGTGTTCTCCAGGGCCTGGCACACAGCCAACAAGATACCTGTTAGGGGAAGAAGAACGAAAAGGTAAGAGTTGGCTCAGCAAACCACTTGCTTGGGATCTGTGGCTCAGCCCTTGGAAAACTACAGGTTTGACTAAGTGGTCAAAGGCAGGCCTAGTTACATCATTTGTGGGGTGCCATGCAAAATGGAAAAGAGGGACCTTGTTCAAAAAGCAACAGTCTCCTTCACCACTTGCTGTGGTGTTTTTGTTTTTTTCAACACTTTATAAATATACTTTTTTTTTTTTAAAGATTTATTTATTTATTTATACATACAAGCACTGGGTACAGTCAGAAGCGCGGGAGGGTGAGAGAACTCAGCAGAGCCAGAGCGGGGAGCAGAGCAGGCAGAAGGACCGAAGTACACTGCTGAGGGGAGCAGCGGGTGGCAGGAGAGGTCCGCGCGCCATGTGGGACCCTCCTCCGGTGGCCGGGGAGCAGCCGGGGATCGAACCAGTGCTGCAGAGGCCGCGGGCAGCTTCACAACCCAGCGCTCAACCGCTGCGCCACCGGGGAGGCCCTAAATATACTTTTTGAGGTAAAATACACACAACACAAAATTTGCTATTTTAATCACTTTTAAGGGTACAATTTGGTGGTATTAAAAGTACACTCACATTGCTCTGCGTGTCACGATGCTTTTTATTTGCTATTTATGTCGTCTCTCCCTTTTGGGTAGGAGGAGGCTTGTGCAAAGCCCCGCTGTGCAGGTGTAAGGGCTGCCTTTCTCCTTTCCACTCAGGGTGGAGACACAGAAGTTCTTGCCTCTTAGGAGAGACACACATTTGGAGGATGAGCACAGTTCCTCACAGGCGCTCGGGACCAGGTGTAAAGGTAGACCCAGCCAGGGAACAGGTGTCTAGCCACCTGCTGGGTTTCCCCTTCAGCCAGTAGCTGGATGGACATGCAGGGACCACCTAGGGGCAGGGAAGTCTACTCAGGTATTTCTTCTTCCCTGGGACCAGCCACCCCAACCCAAGGTGGACAGGTAACTGCCCCAGGGCATTATACACCTCTGTGTCAGGATGCCTGAGGTATGTGGCTCAGTCGTAGGGGGAGGCTCAGCTCCTTCTAGTTCCCCTCTGAACATGCCATGGAGGTGACAGCCAGGGAGCTGTCCTCAGTGGGCAGCAGCCACCACAACTTTCCCTGAGATAGCTCAGGAACACACTCCTAACGCTAACCATTCTCGTGTCCAGGATGTGGGGTGAGGTGTGGTAGAGTCCACCCAGGGAAGCCAGGGAGGTGCGGTAGGCAGGACCATGGGAGTCAAGTCTTCAAAGGCCCCACTGCATGGTGACATTGGACTTCACTTACAAGACAGAAATTCATAGATAAGACTATCAAAAATTTCAAGATTGCAACAGCACAGGATTCAGACCCCAACTTGGGGCCCATGTGAGCGTGAGACTGTGTGACTACAGAAGTCGCATGCCCATGGAGCCACCCTCACCAGCAGATAACCTTACATGCCCTCATGTTACAGTACCAGGGGTTTCTGGAAACAGAGCAGCAAAATCCCAATGAAGAAGGAACCTCTTGTGAATTACGCAATCAACATGAACTCACTTAGAATAACTTCCTAAAACTGAAATGCAATAAGGATGCCACGGTAGCTGCGAGATACGGCTGAACCACCTATGGGATGTCCCAGAAGACAGAAGAATCAAGTCAGCATGGGAAGCCAGCAAACATCTGTACTGTTTATCCCCCATTCAATGCAAATATTTTGAAGCTTTTCATTCAGGGTATAGACACAGAAGTCTTGACTCTCTGGAGAAAAACACAATTGGAGCAGATACTGCAATCATGCTTGTGACTTTCCTTTAGGCCTTTAAAATGAGAAATATCACAAAAACTTCAGACTGCTTTTACTGAAAAGGCTGGCCTGAATTTCCCAAAAATTCCTACAGTCTTGAATCAGATATTTGGCTAGAACGGGTGGGTGAGGAGAAAAGGTACATTTGCTTGTCTTCTTGATGCAATTCTTTTTCGCCGCTGAGCCGACACTCACTTTGGCTTGGAAGCGTGGCTCTTAGCATCCCCCTGGACATATCTAACAGGCTGGGTCTGTGATCTACACACCAAGCATTAAAGTGACACACTCCCACCAAAGCCAGGAAAATCTTAAAGCTCCACATTGTCAACTAGGGACCCGTCATGATCTGACTTTGCCAGCACCATCACAAACCACTCTGGACAAGAGGCAGCCGGTGACCTGTAATAACATAAAGAATGACACGGGGATGCTTTGCATACCTCTTGAGAGGAAGCACTACTGGCCTGTCACACACTGTCCCTTAACGAATGAATTATCTGCCAACTCCCTCCCCTGTCCTGCCAGTCAGAGGAAGCACAGTCTAATCCCTGGGCTCCGTGTCAACCTCTGCTTAAGCAAAATCAAGACAAGAAACAAATACTGTGCAGTTGCAGCCGGGAGGAGAGACGATACCTATTCGCTAGGCATGCAGAGGGGGCTGCTCCCCCAGCCTTGGAGGCAAGTTACTTCATCCCCCTCTGTTCCTCACCTGTGAGCGAGCAGCTGCCAAACTCACAAAGGTGTTTGTGGAACTAATTAGTGTTTGCAAAATCATGTTCCACAGATGAAAGACAGTGGGTTTTTATTCATAATTTGAACAATACAAGAAGAATACTTCCTTTCTATACCCTCCCATTCCCAGGGAAAACAATTCCTTAATGCCCTAGGCTTCTCTTCTCCTTGCCATCCCGATTCAATTCAGGCACCACTTCAGCTGAGGCTCTGTGAGGAGAGGCTGGGCCTCCCCCTTCCCTTCACTATGTGCCAAACTCCCTACCAGGGTCCCAGCACAGAGAGACAGGGGCGGCCTCTGTTACTTCTCAGGCAGGTGGGGACCATCTGGTGGCCACGCACCAGTCCCAGGCCCAATACTGGGGATATATCTGTGCCAACTTATCTATCCTCATAGGAATCCACAATATAGGCACCTCCTCGCCCCCTGCCTTCTGGTCTAGCATGTAGAGACACCTGGTGTTACACATGAGGAAACTGAGGCTGAGAGAGGTTCAGAAATGTGCTCAAGCTCTTGAGCCAAATCCAAACTTAAGTCTGTCCGACCCGCTTACTCAAGACAGAATTTAATCAGCCTACCTCAACCTAGCCTCCTGGCCGTGGCTGTCACAACATGCGGCAGGTATATGCTTATCAGTTACAACCCCCAGTGAATCCAAATGACAGATTCAGCAGGCCTAGCAGGCGAGGCTTGGTCCCTCTCTTCCAGAGGCCATGTTCCTTGTTTCTTCGTCCCCTTGCCTCCAACCCCTCCCCATGCCCCACTAGGAGCAAGATCCGCTGGGGGCAAGGGTGTAAATGTGCAAACCCCTGACCACCCAGTCTGCAGGAGCCCAGGTGTCCACAGTGCCGGCCCCACGCTGTGCCTGGAAAAGCTGGGCTGTGTGAGGCCTTCTAAAAGCATGTGGCCTCGGAGACCCTGAGACTCATCAAAAACCGAGGAAATCTTTCCCTGGAGCACCTGTGTGGGGACAGCACAGCTCCAGGGACAGCCGCACACACAGCAATTCCACGGAGACAACACCCAGTCCAGACAGAAGCTGGCGGCGCGGGTCACAGGCTGAAAGCTGCACCCCGCCTGCCCTGGTTCACAGCCGCCTTCCTCTGGGCCAGGTGTCCCTTTTAGGCTGCTCCTGCCAGTTTCCCATTTCTGTTTAAATAGCTCCAAAGAGGGGAATCCCTGGCTTGTGGAGTTCAAAAAGAATAAAAAAAAGAAAAGGAGGTGGTTTGAGGGGAAAACCACATACAACAGAAAAAACTTTATGAAAGGCTGATCCCCACACCCTAACGTAGACTGGCTGCCCTCAGGAAGGACAGGGCCATTTGGAATGCAAATAAAAGTTTCCAACAGAAAGACTGTGAAGAGATGCTAGCCTATTGATCTCGGGAGTTCACTAAATGAAGCCAGAGTGAAACTCATCTTCTGATGTGCCAGCGGGGAATGCCAGGCACCCAGCTCCCCCAGGTCACAGAGCAGGGCACCCCTTCCTCCCCCAGCATCTCCACGTGGCTCCTCACTCCTGTCCAAGACTGGCACCCAGCTGTGTCTCTGCACGGGACATCCCCCATCGTCTCCAGCCACCTCCTCTGTGGCTGGACACTCAGCTTTCGTGTCTAGCTATGGGAGCAGCATGACCGGGCCCCTGGTCACCCCAGCAGAGTTGACTACGGCCTGGTCGGGCCTCCGTGACAGCCAGGATTTGCTACCTGGTTCCCTACTATTCTCTATGGTGTGGCTCACTCGTTTCCCCATTTTGGGATCCTGTGAGCTGGGCTTCCTGAGTGAAGAGGGGAAGGTGAGGTTTTAGTGCCAGAGAGATGTGGGGAGGATGGAGATGTTCTTGGACCTTTTATTTTATTTTATTTTTTTTAGAAGTAGAGCGTCTTTTTTTTTCCTTTTTAAGATTTATTCATTTATACAAGAACTGGGGTACAGGTCAGAGGCATGGGAGGGAGAGGGGATTCACCAGAGAGAGCGAGGAGCAGAACAAGCAGATGGACTGAAGACACTGCTGAGGGGAGCAGTGGGTGAGGCAGGAGAGGTCTGTGCGCCATGTGGGTTTCTCCCTGGCCGGCCGGGAATCGAACCCGTGCTGCAGAGGCTGTGGACAGCTTCACAGCACTGCGCTCAACCCGCTGCGCCACGGGGGAGGCCCATTTGTACCTTTTAGATGAAGGATGCCATGGATTTAAGGAGATGGCGAGGAAGGCATATGGAAAAAGAGCTAATGCAGAGCAGGAAGGGCAGGAGTTAGGAGAAAGAGAGGAAGAGGGGAGAGAAGGCAAGAAGGGAGTGTAGGTGTGTTCAGGGGGCAGCCAGATTCCCCCCTTCCTCTCCTACTATGCTTGGGGCTGAGGGTCATGAGGGGCAGAGCCAGCCACTCAGGAAGGGGTAGGTGGTACCCTGAGGTCTGCAGGACACCCACAAGCAGCCATGTGGGCACAAAAT